CGCCCACTTTTGGCACACTTTTGAAGTATGACAAAACCCTCAACTTGTCATAGGTTTTATAAAATTTTAACAATAAATGCGATAGTTATAAACAAATTAAAAAATGGGCACTTTTCTTGCTTTTTTTTGCAATAACTTTTTTGTTTATTAACCGATTTTAATTTAACAAGTCTCATTTTGTAGATAATTTTATTCCCTACAACCTGTCATGTGAGTCATTTTTCGCTAAAATTTATGGTTTTCCCTGCAAAGTGAAAAAACTGTTTTCCTCACTTATTTGTTTAAATAAAAAAGTTAGCTAATAACATTTTTTGACTCACGAGATGATAGATGTCTTGTATTATGTTCCTTTAGACAATTTTACAATAATCTCGCGGATAGAAAGTTTCTCTTTTATTTTCGCTAATTTTCCTGGTGTATGTGTAAATTCGATACATTTTGGCAATTAGATACAAATCGTTTGAAAGCGAAGAATCGGAACCTTTCAGAGTAGTAGAAGAGAACATGGCCGAAACGGGTTGAGGTATCAGCGGGACACTATCTCCTAATACAATCGAGGACAAGCCGGCTTACCTGTCGTCCATGCGACATCTGTTATCTCGCACCTTGCAGTTGGCTTTGAAGTCCTCGTAGAGCCGGATACATTTCTCTTCCTGCTGGCAGACTGAGAGAGCGTGGTTGCACGTCGGCAGGGCGTCTACCGGGTAAGGGTCCTTTTCTGAAACAAAGCGAGGGATCTTTTGTTATTCTCCGAGTCGTTTGGCACTGCGTGGGTGGAACGGCGGGGGCAGGGGGGTAATTAATAAAAGGGAGAAGATCTTGTTGCGGGGAATCTTTTCTCTCGTGGCTTTTAATAGTCACTATAGAGGTTTTGCGACAACTATGACAGTCGTATTCATGAGTATTGAAAGATTATCAATTATGTTTAATTTGGAAGTGCCAATTTGACATTTTCAGTTTCTGGTCAAGAAAAAACGGTCTGACTAAAGTTAGAATCATTCAGAATTAGATAATATTGATCATACAGGGTGCAACTTTAAGTGGAGGTCAGTTTTTTAGGGATAAATTACTTTTTTTAATCAAATATATAGTAGTGTTATAATTAATTTTTTAAAGTGCACTAGGCCGCTTAATTATCTTTTTAAAACAAATGAAAATTAATTTAGTAAAACAGATTGCTTTTGAATGTCTTAGTAGCGTGTCATTTTAAAGTCACCATATTTTTTTGGTATCAATGTGGACGAAGCGAACATTAAAAGTACGTTATATTGTTTTTAAAGAAATATAGACAGACATATGTTATCCGTAGTATTTTTGCATAACGAATCCAGTGTCAGAATTGATGGTTCTTTTTCTAACCTCAAAAAAAACCGGTCAATTAAGGTCAGATATCACGAATTTTCAAAAAATATCAGATTCGCGCCAAATTTGGTATACGGGGGCTTTCGAGGTTGCTGATCACGGATTCGAGGTCAATTTTTCAAAATTGAAGATGGCGGATCCAAGATGGCCGACTAAATTTGGTATACGGGGGTTTTCGAGGTCGCTGAATACGAATTCGAGGTGTTTTCAGTTCGTTTTATTCGAAAATCAGTTTTTTTTCGAAAAACATAAGAGAGTAGTAATTTGTAGAATATTGAAAGACGAATCCGAAAATATCATGGTTGTTACCGTAAAGCAGTGGCGTACCATTTTATTTAGAAAAATATGACACCGGTACGCTGTATCTCCGCCACTGGACCATGTAAATTTTAGGAAAAGCCCTCAGATTTTGGACAATGTTTACATAAATGCATGTGCCCAATTTCAAATTGTTTCACTTACTGGTTTTTAAATAATTAAAAAGAAATTAAAATATTTTTTTAAGTTTAACACCCTGTATCTTTTTAACGAAGCGTCTTAGATAAAAACTTTATAGGAAAGACTCCCCTTAAAATTCACCAAAGAATACGAGGTATTTTTGGTCACCATTTGTGAATCACCCCGTATGTATTAGTTTAATATCGATAGTTCATGTCAATCAATTTTAAAAACAATTTTATTTAATTACATGATTTTACCAACCGCGAACTGTTGGTTGCCTACTCTCGCGGTCACGTGACTTGTAATGGTTAATGCCTAGTTTTTGTCAGGAGCAAACGATGCTGTTGCGAGAAGACGATAGATCATCCCTACTTGTAAGTACCGATTAATGTGTTTGTGTCAGTTTTAACGACAGAATTTGAGAAAATAAACTTATAAAGCTTGTTTCTAAAGGTTAAAGGAGGTAGCCTCTACATAAATATGACCCTCATTGCGAGTTACACCCTGTATAAACGTACATATTTCAAAATGCTGACTTGACTTGTCGGGAAATTAATTTTCTTCTACTAAATTAGGCGCTGCTATTTAAATTATTCAAATAAAACTTGATATTGCAAAAAACACCTAATTTAACCCTCACTTAACTCGTTGTGGAACTAATAGCAACGCAAAACAGAAGGAAATACCTCGAACTCATCAAGAACAAACGTTCCAGTTTTTTAACAGACATTCCCATTATGGTAATTAACGGCGTAACCTTTAATAATAACTCACACCAAGAAGTGTAATTTGGCAAATAATGTTTACGAAAAATAACATTTCCGGCTGCAGCGAAAACTGCAAGCGCTCATTATGCGAAACCTGGAAGTTTTAATTGCATAAACACCGCCAACGCAGTGGTTCTTTCGACCGAAAACAAGAGATGCCTGCCAACAGTTGCCGTTGTTCCTTGGCAAGAGTGATTATAATTATTCATGGACGATTAGATGTATCGCGCGCTTTGCCAGTGGCGGGAAATTAAGGTATTATTTTGAGGGAAATTTTGAAGACGTTCTCTTCACTGTGTCCCAAAATGATGGAGTTGAAATTTAAAAAAATCGCTGAAACAGGTCAATTAGTAATAGTACAGTCATTGAAGTTGAAAATCAGCTGTAACCTCCGAATTCTTTGAAACTGCATGGATTTGCATGAAAACTTAGAATAAGGCTTATCTTAGGCTCAAGTTCAAAAGTGACATAAGCCCGATTGACGCTATTTGTTTTTAGGGGTAAAAACTACTCCTAAGTGAGTGAATAAGTTTTAAGCATTTTATTGATAAAAATCTTGTTCAAGCACAAAGATTAAATAATGTTCCATGTTCTCGAACATGTTTTATGGTATATTTGATCTTTTGGATCCTTTATTTAACCATTGAAAACTATCCCTATGCAAAAAATAATGATAAAAAATTACTTTTTAAAGATTTGGCATGATTAAATTGTGCAATTATTTAAAATAAAAATTACCTTACAGCTAATAAAAGAATTTTTCCCTTTCAACCCCTAAAAACCACCCTTGTATTGACAAAAATTATAAAATATTACTTTTTAAAAGCTTGGAATGCTTTAACGGTGCAATTATTTAAAATAAAAATTTTGCTCCGAAAAAATATCATTGGTTTTTTAACCATAACTCGGTTAATTTTGAAGCTATAGTATCCAACAAAAAATCATTTTAAAGATAATTTCAAGAGCTGTAAGGTCGTTTGCATGTAAAACCTTTTAAGTCCTACGTTTTTAAAGGGAAAGGATCGAAGGGCTCGAGATAGGTCGTTTTTTCACTAAAATGGATAATTCAAGCGGCGATATCTCCTTTATTTTTTATGCCACAGGAATAAAAAAAGCATAATATTTGTTGAAAAAAAAAGCTACATTTTTGTTGTCTATCATTTTTTACGTATCTTTCATAGTTTCAGAGTTAATATATAAATGATGCAATTTTTGTGAATAATGAAAAATACGTATTCAACTTTTACCGTACATTATTAAGAAAAAGGATTCTAAACCGGTCTAACTTCCGGATCGTATGAAAAACACTAAAACAAAACTAATTGTAAAGGGTAATTTTAATTCTGATGGGAATGGTACAGCGTTTACTGTTCACTTTTCCTTAAAAAACCCATCTGTTTTTGACGATAATTCCTTCAATTTTGCTCTAATTAACTTTTATAAGTGCTCATTTTGAACGTCTTTTTGAGTACTACAAAAAGCTCCAGGAGCGTTATACACGTAAAATTAATCCTTTTTCCGTTATTTGACGTTAAATACATCAATTCGAGTATTCCCCCTAAAACAAGTCCCCTTCCACTAACCATATTTCACTTTGTATAAGACGTACAACACTTTTTAACTTTTTTGTTTATTTATTAGCTACATTTTTGTTCACTACAATTTTTTTTAATAAAATGCGTAGTTTTTGAGTTATTGGCAAAAAAATACTTTGAAAGTGTTTTTTTTCACTCAAAATTTCAAGTTTCCAATCGTGAATAACTAAAAAAGCTATTGATTTCTCGAAAAAGTTCGAATATATTTTGCTCAAGTTTTGATTCTCTATCGATTTCCAGCGTTATTTTTGAAAAAATATACCACTTTACGAAACAACATTAATAACACATTTCACAATTTACAGTAAATTCCTCAGGGGTCCGAGCCGAGATCACTAGAGACGTATCGTCAGCAAACAACGTTAATGAGGAAGAGTCAAAATGTTGTACCGTATCGTTAACATATGGCAAAAATATTAATGGACTCAGCACTGATCCCTGAGGTACGCCTAAGTCAATATTTCTAGTTTCCGAAGTACACTCATTTATTTTGACACACATGGATCTATCAGTGAGATAGTGGATCAACCAATTCAAGAATATCCCTTTAAATCCCTTATTGTATAACTTGCATGCATGCCTTCATCCATCAATTTATAAACTTGTACAATAGAATCAAGTGTTAAATTATTGAACACTAATTATGATACACCCTGTATAGAGCCTTCCTATTGTTATAGGTCTGTCAAACCTGGCTCAAATAAATAGAAAATATTGCAGAAAAGTGACAGCTTCTATTTACTAGTTGACCTGTTTCATCGATTTTTTTAAATTTCAACTGAAAAAGAATATGAATTTTGTTGCATTGTTGTGACACAGTGTATAATCATTTAGACAAAATTATGCCATAGTTTTTCGGTTTTCTTTGATCTATGAAATCCGTCCGAAAAGCATTTGAGTACGTACAACCTATCTTTACAGAAAATCAACATAAAACTTGAGCACAGACCCACCAAAAGACATTTACTACGCTTCGTAGCACGTTGTTATGATAAGCAGACAGCGCGGTTCAATTTCAAAAGTGCAACGGGTAACTTGGAAACGTACATGGTGGACCACGAAATAAGAGCAATGAAGTTCCTACAGTTGTTCATGTACGAATACTTTGTATAAAAGTATTGAAATTGTGGGATATTTTAGGTAATATTTACTTCATATCAACTCTGTTTTCAAATTATTTAAAAAAACTTAAACTCAAAATTCATGCTTATGTTTTAGAGGTCACTGATCCCGAATCCGAGGTTTGTTTACCCCTACGATACACCCCAGAGGTCATTCAAGGTTATTTCAAGGTCATTCATGAAGTATTTTGGATAGACAAGTTAAAATCAGTCTGAAAAATCTGAAAAAATTCGTCAGGATGTTTTTGAGGACACTGAATCCGAATCCAAGATTATTTAAGCTCCATCGCGTTAGGTTCAAGGTGATTTGAAGGTTAAATTTAGAAAAAGTTGTGTAAAAAAATTAAAAAATTTTAAAAAGTGTATTGAAGTGATTTCGGGGTCACTGAGTTGATCTGGAGGTTATCAAAGGTCTTCAAAGAGTTTCCATCTGTCTACGTATAACCATCTACACATTTGTGTGGAGATATAGTCTCTTTTTCTGATGGTTTACTTTCGTTCTACTATTCTGATTAAGAAAGTTCGCATATGACTATCCTATACGTGGACACGGTCAAAATGAATCGCAAGGGATTTACTTGACTCAAAATTTAATTAGAAACCTCAGGTTGTTGCATTAGCAAAAGAAATCAAGCACGCATTATAACATTAAGTCATAAATTCTTTCAGCATTTTATGTCTTTTCAGTTACGGAAGTGGCTTGTGTTAGCCCTGGCCATTCTTCATCTTGATTACTGCTCAGTCTTTTACCGTGACGTGATGGAGTTTAAAGTTGGATTCGCGTTCAGTGACCTCAAAAGCATTCAGACGAATTTTTTCAGATTTTTCAGACTGATTTAAACTTTTCTATCAATAAGACTTCATGAATGACCTTGGAATGACCTTGTATGACCTCTAGGGTGTATCGTAGGGGTCAAGACCCGGATTCGGGTTCAGTGTCCTCTAAAACATAAGCATGAATTTTTTCAGATTTTTTGGAGGTCATTTCTTGATATTTGACCTTCAAATCACCTATAATTAAAATTTCGCCACAGTCTACATGTAAGTGAGCATTTCTTGCTGACTTTGCTGAAAATTAATTTATAAACCAGTTCCTTCACCCCTAAAACCTAGCGCGAGCCGCCCCGTATCGCCTAACTTCCCCCCTGAATAATTCACTACCCCGAGAACTTACCTTTCTTCATGACAAACACACAGGGATGATCGAACAGGAAGTCCCTGAAGGAGTTGCATTCGGGATCCACGTGCGGCTCTCGGCAAAGGCAGGTGGGTTTGAAGAAGGGGAAGGCCTGCAGCGTGCGCAGAGCCGCCTGGCATTTCGTCACGGTCACCGTGGAGCAAGCCACTGAAACAAGAGAACGTCGTCATTAGAGGGCTACGCTTTTCTTAATTATAACGCGCTTTTTTCGTGGTGTAATTTTTTTGAAGCATACATCGTAGGGTTGATTATGAACAGAGAACCGAGTTTCGTTAGCTTTTCAATAATAATATTAATAAATGACTACCACTGCGAATTTAGTCGCAGGTTGCATAAGCCTAAACAAAAGAATAATACACATTTATTTGTATTTTTTATATTTTTTCTAAAATAATTTAATAAAAATAATACAGTGTGACCCTTTTGTTTTTAAGCCACCATGTAAAAACTTTATTTACTGTGCGATTTTAACCGGATTTTTTTTAAGCTGTAGAGCTTAATGAAGTGTGCATCGAGAAGGAAAATTAGGGTGATCCCACAAAGTCCAAGGCGTTCTAAGTCCATATATACAGGGTGACATAGAAAAAAGTACATTGCACAGTGCCACACAATAGAGGACACTAAAATAAGTAAAAAAGTTCCTATGAACATGGGTCTGCAAGGCCTTCGGTTAAAAGATACGGGGTGTTGAATTTTATTTTTGTTTGGGTTTTTTTTGAATATCTTTAGCCAGAGACGCAAGAAATGGATAAAATGTGGTATACAGGGATTTTTTTATCATGCTAAATTCAAATATGATCTTAGTTTTGTGATTACTGATAGAGGGCGCTACATACAGGGTTNTAAACAATTTGAATACCATTGTTGCTATTTATGCTATCTCACCGAAAATAGATGCAATGGATAGCTGGCAAAAAATACAGTTAATACAAATAAAAAGTACCCTCTACGATCAACAGGAGCCAAGATAAGATTTTTTTTTTAAATCGTAGCGCAATTGTTTATAAATCTTAAGACTTGAATTTTTCGCAAAATAAAGTTTACGACGTAAACTACGATTTCCCGTGAATTGCATTGAAAAATGTGGAAAATTAACGACTCACGAGCCCTTTAAAGATAAGGTACTCGCTAAGTAAACTGTCCGGCGGCCGTCGGCGTGATGGTGGGGGAAGCTCGTCCAAGCGAGTCGCGCGCGCGAGAAAGGTGAAAGTTCAAATTGATGCGCGCTGTAAATTTCGCAATATCTCGGCTTCTATCCATCGTAGAAACTTATTTTTTTTAAAACTATTTTTTTGCCAGCTATCCATTGCATCTATTTTCGGTGAGATAGCATAAATAGCAACAATGTTATTCAAATTGTTTATAAGCGAAAAACGCACGGTTTTTTAATGCACAATTTGAGAATGTTATTGTCAAAAAAACGGTGATATTTTTTAATAGGTCGCTTAATTAAGTCTTTACGATTACAATGACGCTTTCAGAATTAGTCCACAGTACAGGTCCCCTCTGGAAAGTTGATTACCACATACTTTATAACTCCTGAGGAGCTTCGTTTTGACGAGTCTACCACATTTTTCCTCNGCTCTAATTTCTATTGTACAATTTTATTTTCTAAAAATAATGTACTCTTGTTAGAACTTCCTAATGTGGACGATTTTCGAGAAAAAAGGCTTTTAATTAAACTCTTACAATATTACACTATAAAATAAGTTACTTTTCTCAAAGTAAGCTGGAGCTTTGAGAAGAGGAGATAGACATATAGTTCAAATGACAAAAAATTCTTATTTTTTGTCGTCCTCACCCCCTGTATTTACGGGAGGTCTTTCTGAAACACCCTGTATTGTATATTTATATGGAATTTTGCTTAATACATGAAAATATATTATTAGAAATTATAAATACATGTGCACATTTTTGACGAAATTTTTTTTCCTCTTTTTTTGTTGGACTGACGATTTGCGGATATATTTTTGTCGGACATTACAATTTCTGCTTATAAAAAACACTTTTCAATCGTGTGTTATTTTTGTCCGACATGTGGTAATCGATTTTTCATACCCTGTGAAAATTCCGATTTCCAGCTGTCGGACTGAAAAAACGCGGCTTGAAATTTGTCGGACAACAATACTTTTTGACTGAATTANAATCGACAATTACTTAATTGGCCCATTTCGATTGCCCAATCGATTGACAGGTGCACTGTATCGAAATTTCTTGGAGAATGATTTAAACACATTATTAGAGGATATCCCATTGGCCATTATTGGAAGAATGTATTACATGCATGATGGGGCGCCAGCTCACTTTTCTCGAGTGGCAAGGGAATATTTGGACAGGAGATTTGGAAATAGGTGGATTCGTCGAAAGGGGCCTGTACCCTAGCCAGCTCGTAGTCCCGACCTTAATCCCCTCGATTTTTCATTTTGGGGATTTATGAAAAATGAAGTTTATGCTGTAGAAATACATAATGAAGAACAATTATGGATAAGAATTATGGAATCGGTAGATAGATTTCATAATAACCTAGGAATATTTCAAAGATGCCGTCAATCATTAAGAAGAAGAATGGAAAAATGTATTGAAGTACAAGGGCAACAATTTGAACATCTTCTAAAAACTTAATGCTTTGTTTTAATTAATCATATTTTTCATCATACCATTAAAATTTAATTGTTGAAGTATTTACCATTGTTTTTGCAAATAAAAAAAAATTAAAATTCAACACCCCGTATCCTTTAACCGAAGTCCTTGCGGACCCATGTTCATAGGAACTTTGTTTCTTGTTTTAGTGTCCTCTATTGTGTGGCACTATGCAATGTACTTTTTTCTATGTCACCCTGTATATATATTTACGCCACTTGATTCACGATCCCTTAAAACGGTCCAATATCAAAATTTTATTATTCGTCATTATTGAAAAAAATGCATTAATCTGAGAATTTAATTGTCCGACAAAATTATCGTTTTTTTTGCTTGTCCGACAAAATTTAACGATAAAATTTTGCGGCTTCAATACTTACGCATGATGTAGAAGAAAAATTTATATTTAATAAAAAAAATAGGATATGAATAAAAAAATTTTGTTTATATTTCTCAAATTTCAAAATAAATACACTAATTTGAATTTATTTTTTTTATACTATTACAAAAAAATTGTATACAGGGTGGTCCCGACCTAATAGGTCAAAATTCATGGGTAGATTCTCGAAGCAAAAATATTACGATTTAGCCGAACTTACTGGAGTCCAAAAGTTGATAGTTAAAGAGATACACGGTGTTAAATGTAAATTATTATTTTAGTTTTTTTTCATTTATTCCTTAACAAACGCAAATATCGTCACAAAATTTTGAGTTCGTTAAGTAGAAAAATTGAAATGTGTTCACATTTTGCTTAAAGTTCTTAGAAGGCGCTAGCTGCAGTAGAATGAATGTGTTAAAAACGACATAACTTTTTTATACTTTAAGGTATCTCATCTTTGGTATCAAATTCTTATTTTCCAACTTTTTTTACACAAAAAAGCTACACTTTATAAAACTAGCTGTCTCGCACCGTTTTCGAGATATTTGGCTTTGAAACTTCCAATGCTGTTGAATTAAATTACAATGAAGTACCTCCCTATTATTAATTTAGCGGTGAAGTTTCTTAAGTTTGGACGAAAATCAAATAATTGACATACTCCACTTATTTTATTGCTGTCATTTGTATGCTACTGTCCATTAAGTATTATTCGTACCTAAAATTACATCTTAATTTAAATTGTATGTACATAAATGTGAGATGGAATGCCGACACTTCCGGTTTTGGGGTTACATGAAATCAGTTGTTTATGGAGAAACTATAAACACATGTTAAGAACTTTGGCAGCAGGTTTTAAATGCTGCAAAGTCATTTCGCATTAAGGATTTATACTTTACAACAAGACAATCTTTTAATAAATGCGTTGATAAATGTATAATAATATTTTTTAAATTGGTTTAATTGGTTTTTCAAGAACAAAACTATGTGTAAAGTATTTGTCAAAACAAGATTGTAAATTTTAATTTAAAAATACATAAGCAAAAATGTATGCATTCATTGTACAGTTACCATTTTTTATAAAATAGTTACAATACTTTATAAAATAAAATGTACATATACTCGTAAGTTTTTTGAACAAAGAAATCATTTTGATGGAGATTAATTAAATTAGTTAGACATAATTATTTAATAATTTCAATTTCTGTTGCTTCTGTTAACAAGATAATTTTCTTATTTATTCTTTTTTATTTTTTCATTAAAAAATTAATTATTTTATAGCGGAATGAACATTAGGTAACACAAAAATAGTTATTTTTCCCATTTTTAAGGCAAATTTTCCAATCTTTTTGGCGGACAAGTATATTATTGTGTTATACATTTCAATTATTAGAGAAAAAAATCCAAACCAGAATGTTGGTTACCACCAACCATGTTGTCGTTAAGTCGACATCTTCGGGGTGTCGGACTGCAAAAACTTCTTAAGATCTTATTACCAAACCCTCCCAGAAAAATCAGCTTGCTGGTTGCTACCAACATTTTTGTCGGACAATTTTTTTTTTGGGGGGGGGGTATAAAAAATATATGTCATTTAAACTTAAAAAAAAGTGCTGCTAAACATTCCATGTTTATGCCAGATTGACATGAAAGTCACGGGAAAACTTACCACTGTTGAATTTTCCTCGTAGTCAAAGCTTGGGTGGCTCGTCAAACTTAAGCTACACGCAAAGTTACAGCTTGCTGGTAATCATTTTTTTCTTTGTAAGTGGGCCCGGGGACTATTAGTACGTAGATATGTTACTAATTGTAAATAAAACTAAGTTATATTTTAAAATAATTAATTTTATCGTTTTAAGAGACTTACATTAAAACATTTAAAACATACTAATATGATTGATATGAATTATTTTTCTAAATTGTTTCAGATTTTTAAACAATTACGCGTTACTATTTTTTTTCCAAAATTTCACCATAATGTCCCTACTAATGCTGATATATCGTTTTTGTTTGGAATTATATTGGAAGATATTAAAAAATATACGGTTCATTTGACCTTTTTGTCTTAATTAGGCCCTGCAGCAACTTGACAGCGTATTGAATTTCACTTAAATGAAACTGTGAAGAAATCATG